AATGCAAAGATTTTCAGCATAAGCACATTAAAGTGTGGAATTTTAGAACAGTTAAGTAATCCTGAAATAGAAAAGTAAGAACTTTTCTTTTTCTTGCAAAAAGCAAATATACAACCTTTGCGAAGCTGAGCATAGCTTATTTTATGAGATATTTCTGTGACATGTTTTTCCAAGCAGCGAAGATTGTTCATTTCAGATCCACATCTATGATGTGATTTTCAAAATTTGGGTACAGAGACTGAAGAGGGAAGGCTTTTATTACTTGCTTTATTTGCTGGAAATTAATGCAAAGACAGTGATTTTTCTAAAATGCATCTTCAAAGTTTCAGACAGTTATTTAACTTTTGACTTGCAGAAATATTCAATTAATTTCAAAATGATCCTACTTTCATGGCTCACTGTCACTACAGTGTTGCACTTCATAATTTTCAGTTCAGAAAGGGTTGAGAACCCAGAGTAGAAGAGTCAAGGCCATACACTGAGAATATGATGATTTTAGAGCAAGTTTTTGAAAGTCAGCAGAGGTTTGGTATTGTACTTGGCAATATGCAGCAAGCTAGACTAGGGAGATGCTGTTTTCCAAGGAACTTTTCTTTCCCCCAGATTTCTTTTGTTATGCACAGAAATAAGCAATAATCATTAGAACTGTAGGAATATTTGTAGAGTAGTTTGCTCTGGAATTCCAATTACAACCCTGTGGAAGAAGTTAAGAGCTGTCATAGAAATATCTTTAAGGATTTTTGCTGCTAGAGAGAATGATCATCAAATTAATCCCTCTGAGATAATCATTAACCATTAAATAGGGCAGTTGCCTTACTTCAGTTGGTAATCTAGGAATAACACTAGGCTGGTTCTCAGCCTCCCAAGCAATCCAGGTGTGAAGCAATCAAAAATCATTTTGCTCCCAGGGAAGGCACTGGTGTTAGAACTCCTAATCCTGAAACATTTTAATTAAACTCATTCTAAAGGTTAATATTTTCAACACACTTACTGCACACATAGAATTGCTGGGACCTACCATAAGTAGAAGTGCACCAAACAGGGAGCAATGTCCCTGCTGATCTTTCCCACTAGAAAAAAGCTGTCTAGGGATCAAATTTTTCTAAGAAAGCAGGCCCTAGATCTGATGGCTGTAAGATTATCCTGTCAGCTCTTCTAGTGTAATGAAATGAAAAACAGACTGTGAAACTGGACTCAAATATTTAGCTGTTTAGTAAGATGCTTAACTTTAAGTAAGATCACCTAACTTTTTGTGACTGTTTGCAATTCTAGCAATTATTTTCATAAATATATTTTATTCATGTAAAGCTGGGGTTTGGGTTGTTTTGTTTGGTTTCTTTCGGTGGGGGGAGATTGTTGGTTTGGTTTGGGGTTTTTTTAATAATCTCGTCTTTAAACCCTGTCTAGTCTGTAACTCACCTGCGCTAACAAAGACATTAATATATACTAGTTTATCCTTCAGCTGACGTATTCTATTCAGCTAGAGCATGTGGACTTATCTTTCTCAGACTGCAAAGAGCTATAGGGTATTTATAGGGTACTGTTAGAGGCAACCAGATCTGGTGAAATATTATCAATGGGTTATGGAGTTTTGGCAAGCAGCTTTAAAGTAGTAAAGGGTTCATGATTTGGGAACCCTGCAAAAACTTTGACAGATTCAAATTCAGAAGAGCATTTATCTGGAGTACTTAAGCATAGTCCTTTGCTGCAGGAGACTATTTATCTGCTTAACATCGGGTGCCAAAGTTAGGTTTTTGAAGGGCATTGGTCCAAAGACTGTGACTGTCTGAAAGAGTTTTCTTATAGTAGATTTTCTTTAAGCAACTGTTTCATCTACTTAACACATTTGCTGTAAAGCATCTCGTCTGAACTGCTCTGCATGCTTCTCTTCCACTTAGACCAGGGAAGTCTGGAGTTTCTAATAGAATCTAACTAAAGGACAACAGAACAGTTGTCATGTGCGCACACAGAAGCTAAGGTGTCTTTCCAACTATTGACTGACTTATGTTGCTTTCGTTGCTTTCTGTTTCTTGAATTACCTCATTATATATCCCTTCTGACAATTCCAGATAAGTTGTATGGCCTTATTTCAGTGTTCAAGCATCTGTGGTACAACCACTTAGGTGCCAAATTAAAAATTAATTTCTGAGAATACCAAGGTCTGTAGTATCAAAAACATATTTACAAATAAAATATGATAAAGAGAACTTCGAAAGCATTTTCTGTCCCCAAAGGTATAAACTTGACTGAACTGAAATCTTAAAAAAAATCAATCAAACAAACAAATAATTTATTGAGCATTCTAGGAAGGTTCTTGCTCAGCCCAAGGAATTATGCAAAGCATAATCAGCAGGACTGATAAGAAAAAGGATATGGGAATACATCAGAAGTTGTACAAATCATTGGAAGGGGCAGAACAAAAAATCCTTACAAGTGAATATTTCTTTGAAAAACAAGATGATCTGTATGAATAATTAGTGAGATCACTGATACAAACCAGGAATTTTCCCATGAAGGTGATGATTAGGCAAAAAATGCATTTACACAAGCGTGTCTATATGAGCCTCTCTCATTGTGGTAATCATACTGTGCAAATTAGATGAATGACTCCACAAGGTCTTTCAATGAGAGTTTGCAGCTAACCTATTTTAGTAAAATTTTAGTAAAACTAACTTAAACTTTGTATTATTATAATTATTATCCCTTCTCAATAAAAGAATTTGGAAACTTGACAGAAAAAGCAATCTGACAGCAAGACTGGAGTCTTAGGGGGAATAATAATATTACTTTGAGAATTTTGTGTGGGAGTTTTAACATTTGTTCTGCTTTCCTCTTTTCTCTCAGGAGTATAAAACAAATACTGGGAGTGGTGCCATGGGAACCATTTGCTTTTCTGGAAGCCTTCTTTTCTGCATTAACCTGCTACCAATTATTATTTAACATTCAATTCTTATTTGTAGATTGAATATGAAATATAATGTGAAGCAACACTTCTAAAATGGAACAGTAAATTATGTCAAGTTTTTATGTAGCTAAATCGCTGAGCCTTTGGGGACTGTAATCTAGCTCTAATGGAATAAAAGATTCATGTCAACTGATGGCTCCTTTGACAAGGCAACTAAAAGTCAGGTGCAGTTATTCTGAAGTTTTTATATCCAAAATCTGAATTTCATTATCCACATCAGGGGTTATTTCTTTCTCAAGGCACTAACTATGAACAGGTTT